CCCTGTTCTGTGGCAGCTGATAATGTTTTTGCACTAGGCCTGGTCCCAGATTTTCCAATGAGAGCAAAGAGATAATGTTTGGAAATAGACCAGCCCAGTTGCTTTGGCTTCAGCTCTTGTCTTTAGAGATGAATGCATTCTTTGAGCTGTATAAAGCTTTTTAAAAAATCCCCATCCACCCAATAAATGTCTTTTAAAAATCTTCACACTCACACGTTGTCTCTTGAGCTCTTGCTTAATTAGTTACTCCTGAGGGAATTCTGCACCAAAAACTTAAAAATTCTGCGCACAATATTGTACAATGCTGCAAATGTTATATGTCAATAAATAAATGTCGCCTGTGCTCCCCACTGCCATGCTGCAACCTCCACATTTATTTATTGACAAATAAAAATTGCAGATTTTTGCAGAATTTTAAAACATTGTGTACAGAATTTTATTTTTTTGGTGCAGAATTCCCTCAGGAGTAGCTGGTGAAGCAACTCACCAGGGTTAGTAGCGCCACACCAGGTGCATCAGGTGTGGGCAGGCAGGCTCAGCCCAGCAGGATCCAAGTGTGAGGGGGATCCGGTGTGGGGTGAGAGGGTTCTGGGTGGGGCAATCTGGGTGTGGGCGGCGCAGTGTGGGGTCTGGGTGCGGGGTGATGTGGATGCACAGAGCTCATTGGGGGGGTTCCAGGTGCAGGGGCAATGGGACTCTGCAGGTGGGTCCAGTTGAAGGTGGTTGGGGCTCAGTGGGGGGTCTGGGTGCTGGGGGAGTGGGGCTTGGTGGGGTCGGGGTCTGGGTGCGAAGGGACTTGTGGGGTGGTCCAGGTGCATAGGGGGTAATGCTTATCAGTATAGAGGTTCTAGTATGGGGGGCTCAGTGGGCCTGGGGGGGGTCTGTGGGGGTCTGGATGCAAGGGGGAGGGACTCAGCAGAGGGTGGTCTGGGTGCAGGGGTGGATGTCCAGAGGCGGGAGGCTTGGGACTCGGTGTGGGGATCTGGGTATGGGGGGGTCCAGATGTCCGTGGGTTGGGCAGATGGAGGAGCAGCTTCCTGTACAGTGACCCCTCGCCCTGCGGCTGAGGACCGATGGGGGCAGGATGTGTCGGTTAGTGCAGAGCTGGGGTAGGTTTCTGGGGGTGGGTCTGACCTGGCCCTGGCCACTCCATGCAGGGGAAGAGCGTTCCTTCCCCACCCTGAGCCCAGCTGGAACTAGCAACTGAGCCTGCTGCAGGATAGGAGCCACTGGCCGGAGTGGGGCTGCGGAGAGCCAGGTGTGGGAGGAGGGGCTCGGTGGGGTGGGGGTTCAGGTGCGAGGGTTCGTTTGGGGAGTTCTGGGTGCGGGGAGTGAGGCTTGGCTGGGGGGTCTGAGTATGGAGGGTTTGGGCGGACGGGAGATGGGTCTGACCTGGACAGGCAGGGGCGTCTCCAGCCCCGCCCCCCTGCAGTGATTTACTTCTCTGCCAACTGCTCTGGGTGCCCAAAACGACGGGCCCACGCTGCTGGGGAGGGGCATGTGACTGCTCTTGCAGCTTCCCTTAGCTTTGCTGTCAGAAAGTCATTTTTCTGCATGGAAGCAAAGAAATCTGTGTGGGACATGAATTCTGGGTACGCACAGTGGTGCAGAATTCCTTCAGGAGTAATCAGTTTATATCCTGTCCCCAGCCTCCCACTTACCTTCTCTAACCAGAGCAGCTCTCTCTACCCAATCCCCTTTGTATCAGCAGTAGCCCTTGCAGTGTACCATAGAGTCTTTTCAGGGACAGTTTTTAAGTCCTTCCCCTGTTTCCACCCCCAATGGACTTATCTTGCAAGACCAGTGGTCTCCAACCTTTTTACGCCCAAGATCCCTTTTTTAATTTTTAAGGGCAACCCAGGATCTACCCCACGCCTTCCCTGAGGGCCCGCCCTTCCCCAAAGCCCCACCCCACTCACTCTATTCCCCCCCCATCACTCGTTCTCCACCCCACTCACTTTCATCAGGCTGGGGTAGGGGGTTGGAGTTCGGGAGGGGGTGCGGGCTCTGGGTTGGGGTCGAGGGGTTTTCAGTGTGGGAGGGGGCTCTGGGCTGAGCCTGGGGCAGGGGGTTGGGGTCCAGGAGGGAGTGAGGGGTGCAAGCTCTGGAAGGGAGTTTGGGTGCAGGAGGGGGCTCCGGGCTGGGGCAGAGTGTTGGGGTGCAGGAGGGGATATGGAGTGCTGGATCTGGGAGGGGGACCAGAGCTGGGGCTTGGGGTGCAGGAGGGGGTTCGGGGTGCAGGAGAGGGTTTGGGTGCTGGCTCCGGGAGGAGGACCAGGGTTGGGGCTTGGGGTGCAGGAGGGGTTCGGGTGCAGGAGAGGGTTTGGGGTGCTGGCTCCGGGAGGGGGACCAGGGCTGGGGCTTGGGGTGCAGGAGAGGGTTTGGGGTGCTGGCTCTGGGAGGGGGCTCAGAGCTGGTGTGTGGCTTCCCACTGGGCAGCACTTACCCCGGCGGCTCCTGGTTGGCGGCGCAGCGTGGCTGCTGCTAAGGCAGGCTCCCTGCCTACCCCGGCCCGATGCTGCTCCCAGAAGGGGCCAACGTGCCCCTGCAGCCCCTGGGTGTGGGAGGTGCGGGGGCCATGTGGCTCCATGCCCTGCCCCTCTCTGCAAGCACCGCCCTGCAGCCCCCATTGGCCACAGCTCCCCATTCCTGACCAATGGGAGCTGCAGAGGCGAAGCGTGCAGGCAGGAGCAGTGCATGGAGGGAGACCCCTGTCCCTATTAGGGCTGTGCTGGCCGCTTCCAGGAGTGGCGTGGGGCCAGGGCAGGGAGGGAGCCTGCCTTAGCGGCAGCCCTGCTACCCCACTGGAGATCGCGATTGACTGGCAGACCCTCTAGTATCGATCAGTCGATCGCGATCGACCGGTTGGTGACCACTGTGCTAGATCATGGGGTCTGGACCATGGGTTCCAGAGAATCAGTTCTATATTTCCTATTGGATTAAAAACTTCTGAAGTTTTATTTATTGTTTGCACAAGCAGCCATCCTTTCCTAAGTCCTAACCATCTAGGAATCGACAGTTAAAACTTCCGCAGTGGCACACTAGGAGTAAGTGTGGTCTGTGCTCTACTGCTGCCCAGCCACTGGTTCATATGGGATGGAGTGGCTGGGGCCGTAGCTAAGTGGTAGGGCACAGGCTTAGCACATATGAAGCCCGAGATTTAATCCAGGGCATTTCCTCCACATAGAAACTGGTGGGCCAACTCACGAGCCAGAGTATCAAATAATCTAATAGCAGCAGAAGGTCAGCTCCTTTCTTCAGGATGGGTTTATTTCTCCAAACCAAGAGTCCAGCATAAATAAAACAGTTAACTAGGTCCTTTCCTCTGACCCAGCGTCCCCTGCAGGTCTCTCCCTCCCCACTGAGCAGTTAGTCAGCGCTTAGGGCCTCAGGTTACACAGATTTGTTTAATAAGGTGTGTTTCTGTCCACATATTGAACAGGCATCTGTTTCTCTGTTTATTTAGGTTTTCTCTAATATCCACCTTGATTATTTGGCATGGATTTAGCTTCTACAGCTGCGGTCAATTTCCCCCAGATGATGCCACACAGATCAGATTGTGTGGTTTATATTTGAACTGGGTGTCCTGATTCCCCACAGCAAATGGGATCAAATCTGCCCTTGATGATGGGACTGGAGTAGCATGGGCGTAGCTGAGGCCTGTAGTTTGGCCTGTTATTGCCAGTTTTGGCCAACTGCTTTGACGCTTTATCTTGAACAAACAAGAAAATGGGCCTGATTCTTCTCCCACTTATACCAGTTTAACACTAGTGTGACTCTTGATTTACATCAGTGTGAGAAGAGAATCTAGCCCAAAGTGCTTTCCCTTTTCATAGTCTTCAAACAGAAGGCAGACAGTATTACCAGAAGGGACCAGTGTTCTGGCCCTGCTCCTGCTCCCATTGAAGATTAGACCCTCTGTTTTTATTAGGGCTGTTTTTTTAAGCAATTCTTCTGTGATAAGAATAGATGAAGTTGATATGATTAGCAGGCTGAGATACTGTTATACACTGAGGTAACACTTCCCCAACATTTGTTAAATATACTGCACCTAACGCTATATACACATCAGAATAGTCTAGCTGTTCCAAATAGCTGAAGCTCTCAAAGCATTTGACAGACGGGGTATCAAAGGCATAGAGAGCTTAAGGCCACATTAGTGATTTTGGGTGTTTGTTTCTGGGCACCATTTGAGACACCTAAAGAGTAATCTTCCGAATGCGATGAGCACCTTCTCTCTGAAAATTAGCCCCTGTAAATGGGTTTCAAGTTGTGCACCCAAAATAATTACTTTGGTTTGAAAAATCTTGGCCTTAATGACAAGATCACACATCAAGTCAATAGCAGAGTCAAGACTAGATCCCAGGCCTCCTGACAGTCAGTCCGGGGCTCTAAACAGTAGACATCGCTAGTCTCACATTGCTACTTCCAGGATGAGTCCTGTTTATTTGTTAAAATGATGATAGAAGCGAAGAACAAAGGAGAGCTTCCTCCTCTCTTGATACAGCTGCTCCCTCCTTTTGATCAGGGGCGGCTCTATGTATTTTGCCGCCCCAAGCACAGCAGTCAGGTGGCTTTCGGTGGCGCGCCTGTGGGAGGTCCGTATGTAACGCGGATTCGGCGGCATGCCTGCGGGAGGTCCGCCAGTCCCGCGTCTTTGGCGTACCCGCCCCCGAATTGCCGACAAAGCCGCGGGACTGGCGGACATCCCACAGGCATGCCGCTGAAGGCTCCCTGACTGCCGGCCCCACAGCGACCGGCAGGCCGCCCCCCGCGGCTTGCCACCCCAGGCATGCGCTTTGCTGCGCTGGTGCCTGGAGCCGCCCCTGCTTTTGATCATTCTGTTTGTGAGAGGTGGGGAAAAAGTCCTTCGGGCCTTGCAGGGAGTGGTTATTGGAAAAGGAAAATAAAGAGTTATTTGTTAATATCCGCCTCAGAGCAGAGATAAGACTGGCTAACCCCCTCCACCCCATTGATAGCAGGAGCCTTTGTTTCCACAGTCTCCATTGAAGATATTCGGGATGTGAGGCCCGGTCACATGACAGAGGGGATGGAAAAGTACGCCAAAGATGTCCCTGAGCATCGCTGTTTTTCCATCATCTTTAAAGACCAACGGAAAAACCTGGATCTTATTGCCAGTTCTGAAGATGATGCCAACCACTGGACTGCAGGCCTGAAGAAAATCATAGCCAAGAACAATTCCATGAGCCAGAGGCAGAAACTCCAACAGTATCCTTTGCATTTTAAAAGTGATTAATTATCCAACCACAACAAAGATGCACTTGTCTGTCTCAGTTGGGGTATTTGTATGTGTGTGCGGGGGTGCAAAACTGCACTATGAACAGGGCACTGAGTCAGTCTCCTCTCACACTGACTTTACATCTGTATAACTCTATGGACTTACTCCTGATTTATACTGATGTGAAAGTCCTTTAAACAAAGAATTGTCTCATTGAGGACTTAAGATAAAAAAGCCATTAGTTCCTAGATTCTTCAGGGATTTGATTCATTCACCATGAACTCCAGGATGGGAATTTCTTGGCGATTAATGACAGGCTTGTAGTGTTTATGATGTTTTATAGAAGTGTAATGCAAAGGAGCTGATTTTCCTCTTTCGTGCACCAATTTTACATCAGTGTCGTTCCACTGACTTTAATGGAGTTCCTCCTCATTTACGCCAGCGTGGGAGGAATACCTCTCCCTGAAGAGCTCGCGTGCTATATAGACACACTACAAACAAGGAGAGGGGGAAAGGAATGCAACAGAGAAGCAAAGCCAGTGAGTCACTGGGTGAAATCCTGGCCCAATTGAAGTCAATAGGAGTTTTCCCTCTGGCTTCAATAGAGCCAGAATTTCATGCACTGGGCTATAGATCTCTGAGCATCCGTAGGCTTCGCTGCCATATTAAAAGTGAGGGTGGTTGTGGGCTGCATTTTTTTAACTTTTTGGACCACATTTGGCCTTTTGGATGCTCTGTGGGTCTCCCTGCTATTAAAGCAACCTACCTGAATCAGCATTCTTGAGAGGCTCTGACCCATTGATTGTCTTGTGAGTGCCAAGTACACTAACCTGGATGGACTTTACAGATATTGCACCATCCCTTGTCCTTTTATAGGTTATTCAACATATTTATTCATGCTGTGGTCTCACACTCTGTGGGGGAGAAGGGGACAGGTTTTTCTCCCCACAGAGGTCCCTCGGTACCACCAGCAGGACTGTCAAGCTGAATTAGCCATTAGTCAGCCTGCCACATCCCTCTCTCCCTTAGGTTGTGCTTTGACTAGAATCTGGGGTGTTAAGTCTATTGAAGTTGGATTTCTCAGTGGAACCTGCATTGTCTTTTCACTGGAGACAGGGCATCTCTTGAAGCTCATGACAGAAGCTTTTGGTAAGACACAGAATCTCCCATGAACCCTTACTGCATTTAACCTGTGGGTGATTCAGAGTCCTAGTTCCAATGTTATTGCGTGGCAAGTACAAATCCTGATTGCCATTCAGAAACAAAAACCAGCTCTGGAGAGAGAAAAAGGTGCCAGCACTTATCTGGCAGCAAAACAGTCGCAGACATAGAGGTTTTATTGTAGTTTGCTGCCACTATTGAGAGTTGGTTGGAAAATTAACTCTGGAAGGGAGAGGCTTAAAGATTCTTTGAGTGGCAAAACAGTCATCAGGAGCAGGGAAGTTTGCCATTCATCTCTCAATTTTGCATCTATTGCTGCAGCACAGTGCATGCAAGCTATTGACTTGCAGATAATGAGGGATCTCATGCCCATCATAGAATCATAGAAGGGTAAGACTGGAAGGGACTTTGAGAGGTCATCTAGTCCAGTCCCCTGCACTCAAGGCAGGACTAAGTAATAACTAGACCATTCCCGACAGGTGTTTGTCCAACCTGTTCTTAAAAACCTCCAATGATGGAGACTCCACAACCTCCCTAGACAATTTGTTCCAGTGCTTAGCTACCCTGACAGGAAGTTTTTCTTAATGTCCATCCCAAATCTGCCTTGCTGCAGTTTAAGTCCATTGCTTCTTTTCCTGTCCTCAGAGGTTAAGGAGAACAATTTTTCACCCCCCTTCTTGTAACAATCTTTTATGTACTTGAAAACTGTTATCATGTCCCCTCTCAGTCTTCTCTTCTCCAGAATACACAAAGCTGTTTTTTTCAATCTTTCCGTATAGGTCATGTTTTCTAGACCTGTAATCATTTTTGTTGCTCTCCTCTTGACTTTCTCCAGTTTCTCCACATCTTTCCTGAAATGTGGTGCCCAGGACTGGACACAGTACTCCAGCTGAGGCCTTATAAGTGCTGAGTAGAGCAGAAGAATTACTTCTCGTGTCTTTTCTTTTCTGATAGCAGTCTGTGATTGTCGCTAAACAGCATGATACTTCAAGAGAGTGAGATGCAACCAAATAGCTTTTGCTTACTACCAGTTCCAAGGTCCTTAAAGCCACTAGGAGATTGTGTGTTTTTTCAACACTTAGGCCCAGATTCTGCCCTCAGATATATGCAGGCATGTCTGGTTGAAGTTACTGGCTTGACCAGCACTGACCAAACAATGCAGAAATGTTGCCACAGTGCCATTGAGCGAATGATGTAGCCCATCCTCTTGGGAGGAAGGCACTGCCTGGGTCAACAAAGCTCAAATTTAGCTTCCTCCTTATTTCAGTTCAGCCGCTCCTCTCGCACTGTGCCTTGTGCTCCCATCTGGAGCCAACCCACTGCTGGGTCAGTACTTTCTCCTCTGTCGCCACCATCTTGCTACATTAGCTCCTCTGTGCCTTGTTGTGACTCGTGGGTGGGGGACCTTCACTAGGTCTTTCTACTACTTCAGAACCTCTGGATGTACCAGAGGTTCTAGTGCTGGCCCCAGCATCTTCAGCTGGAGGGCTCTGAACCTGGATGTTAGCTAGTCTGTCCCAGTGCTCACAGTCTGGGGACTATTTTTCCTGCTAGTAAAGCTCTGGTCTTCTCGTTACAGTGCAGCATTCCTGCCTGGCTTTCTTCTGACATTGCTCTGAATCTGCCTGTCTCTGGCGCTGAGGTGTTTGCTGAGCCGAATTAGGGGTTTAGTGCTTACCACTGGGACTTCCCTAATCCAATTAGCCCTTGATAATGAGGGACCTCCCTGACTCCTGTCCCGCTAAGGTCATTAATTTTCTTGTGACCGCCACAGTGGATAGGGGTCTATTAAGTCCAAATTCCTCCAGCTCTTAATATCATGTATTTCCCTCACAAGTCTTCGCTGGTTTATGGTGACTTTCCATCACCTCCTACTTTATCTCCCTTTGGCTTTCATTGGGAACATACCTACAGGAATTGTCATAGTGGATCAGACAAGATTTCCTGTCTTCAACAGCAACCAAGGCCAGATGTTTCAGAGGCAGATGGAAACCCTAAGCTGCACCTAACTGCAATATTGTAGAATATCATAGCATAGGGAGAGGGAATTTACTGTACCGTATCATGTAATACAGGATCACCAGAATTTCTTCCTGACCCCAGCTAGTGATCAGGGCGTGCCCTGAACTCTGAGGAAGGATGGCCCTTGTTTCCCAAACATTTTTGGCATCCCCACTTCAGTTGAGACTTTCCTCATCACTTGGGCTGACCCCCAAATTTAGCTCCCTTCTTAACTCAATTCAGCCACTCCTCTTGCACTGTGCCTCATGCTCCCACCTGCAGCCAAACCACCATCTCGCTGCTAGGTTTCACTTCGGTGGCCACCATCTTGCTACACTGGCTCCTCTATGCCTCCTTGGTACTCATGGGTAGGGGGCCTTCACTAGGGCTCATGAAAGTTATTGCCTTCTAGAGCCTTCCTTTCTGGAGAAGCCCATGGCTGGGATGGGGGGCTGCCAGAAATAATATTTGCCTGGCTGTTTTCATTCTAGTTAACATTTGTGATGACTGCACGCTTCCACCACCACCTCTGTGGGAGTCACGGCTACAAAAAAGCCGCCTCTGGAGCATGTCCAATTGAAACCACTGAACTATTTCCGTCTAAGAGTAGAGATGATTGTATCTAAATAACAATAACATTTGTTCGGAGCAAAGGCTGCAATTTCCGAAGTGGAAACATGCCTCTCTCTCTTTAACTCCTAGTCAGAATCCAAGTTAAATGGGATGGGGAGGCAAACAGTATTTCTGGAAGAATAATTATGGTGGACTGTTGGCGTCCAGTCTGGGACAGTTACTATCAGTCCAACCCAACCTGGAATTACAGAACAGCAAGATTCTCATTTTAGGTTTGCTGATGTTTAATTAAAGCCTGGAATTTAAACTTAGTCTTTCTTCAGTGGATGTGCCTGGAAGTGTGGTTTGATGTGAAAGTTTCTTGAAAAGAAATGGGCATCATATATATGAATACAGATAGATAGGAAAGAAGTGTTGGGGGCCCTTGGTCCATTCTTCCCCTGCCAGGGCAGGGTTGTTCTCTGCAGTACATTTTCCCGTGCTTGCCACCCTAGTTTAAAGACATGAACATGGAATAAAATCAAGCAGTTCACAGATGGTTTTTGATGCTTCTGTATATACAGTAGTGCCCGATTAACAGTCCAGTTCAGCTCTAGAGCAAGCAGGCATAGCTTCAATTGATTTCAGTGGAAGTTGCACGCAATTTTGCCTGGGATGACTTTGGTCCATAGAATACATGGGAACTTTCTATCTAAGCTGTGAGAAATGCAACAGCTTTCCTCCCCCCCCCCCCCCCCGCTTTGGAGTCACATCCCCTGAATTTCTAATTTGAACAAACTCACTAGATGCCTTAGAATTCTTCAGTCATTCTTCCTTAGTTTCTAGTGGAAGATAGTAGCTTCAGGAGCCAGCAGATCCTTTAAAAGGGCAACGAGACAATATTGTCTCCCTGTTCAGACAGGAATTAAAGCCATAGCTTTCCATCCATCCTAGATACTTAAATGGTCCCCGTCCCCATTGTGTTTGAGCACTTCATTCTTTATCATATTTATCCTCACAACATTCTTTTGAGGTAGGGCAGCGCTATACACCCCATTTCACAGATAGGGAATTGAGGCCCAGAAAGGCTAAATGATTTGCCCAAGGTCACACCGAAGTCTGTGGCAGAGCAAGAAATCAAATCCAGGTCTTCCAAGTCACAGGCTAGTGCCCCAACCACTCGAGCAACCCACTCTCAACCTGCTAAGGCCCAAACCTAGGATGCAATGTGCGACAAAGATCCAAAATGAGGAGCACAAACAATTAGCCATGCAGG